AAAAAAAAAAAGCATGTTGGAATGCACAGAACGGCAACAAATTGAATTGTCTGCTGGACGTTACACATAATAGCATACCTTCCATAGTTAGAACCTTTTGTTTCCAATCCATGGTTTTAAAAAAAAATACAGGAACAAACAATGCGTCACTTCCAATGTTATCTTATTAGTGACATAACATTAACTCAACAGTGAATCACACAGCCAAGGTTAAAACGGCAAGAAGCTTATCAGTTCAACCAAACAGTACTGCCCACATACGCACACACAACGTACAATATATGGCCGTGCTCATTCCGTATAGCGGACATGACTAGGTAAATGAGGTTGTTTGTCACATTTGTTACAACTATTGTGGTAAATACGTGTATCACATGCCCACTCGTTTATTTATGCATTCTCCATTACTGAACACTGATGGCGCTATACACCAAACCAGCTACAAACTTTGTTAAACTGTAATAAGCCCTAAAAAAACGTTTTAAAAGAAGTGGAAAGCTGCTTTTTTTGTTCTCAGTGCTAAGCCTCTTAGGAAATTACCCGTAATCTTACAAGAAATGATATTACTTAGTTTAAGTGGTTAAAAGCATGTTAATATCTATTGCAACATTTCCTAGTAACCATGTTTATCTTGTGGCTCGCCAATGATTATAGTAAGTCTAAATCCTGTGGGTACAAAGTTACACAACTATAATAAACTATGTAAAAGTCGATAATAAATATCTACAGAAATAATTCCATGTATATCAAGTCATAATTCACTATTTTTATAACTTTTTGCTCTTTGACCTTTAGAAGTTAACTAGCAAATTGACATGTATTCAATAGGAAATTATGTCTATTAAGTCTAAAATGAACAAAAAAATTATGTCTATTAAGTCTAAAATGAACAAAAAAATTATGTCTATTAAGTCTAAAATGAACAAAGAAATTATGTCTATTAAGTCTAAAATGAACAAAGAAATTATGTCTATTAAGTCTAAAATGAACAAAGAAATTATGTCTATTAAGTCTAAAATGAACAAAAAAATTATGGAAAAAATATATAAAAATATGTGAAATGCTGCATTGACAATGAGTCATACAATTTTGTAGTAGTGACATTTTTCCTGGCGTCTTAGATATGAAGTGACAGTGACTTCCACAAAAAACCAAATCGTGAAAATTACTAACAATGAAAATTAAACAGTGTTCTAGAGAGTACAAACAACAAACTCAAACACATACTTTTTGGTACAGTGTGTACGACATAAATTTCTCATTCAGTATGGCTGCAGCAGCCTTGCTTTATACACTGTCAAATATTTTATTTTTAATAGCTGGAATTAATTTCCACTCAAAAGACTTTTCTGGTGTTTTGTATAGTATTCATTTTCACCGACTTTTGATGAGTTGAATGTAAAATATAGGAAAAAAATGTATATTCGCTGGATTTTATCTTCACGTAATCATCCCTTTAGAGAAAAGAGCAAAAATGAATTCCAAGCGAAAATAAAACAAAATATGACATTAATGTAACCATACAACATGTACACTAGGGTATTGGTAGTTAGGATCAAGACTGCTATAAAACTGATCTACAACGAATTACTTGTCCATGAGACATAGCAGTAAAATTTGTCATGCTATAAAAATGACAGTCTATTGGGAAAGTTGTGAAGAAAATGTTAACATAGACGATTTAATAGTGTCTACATAACAATAACAGTTTTATGATTCAGTACAGTTTAACCCTTTAATTACCAGTTCCCTCTTTTCATCACAAATTCACAAAATAGTTATGTTTATAGTCTGCACTTTCTTTCAGAAAATTGGAATAAAACTAGTCAAATTTTTTGAGTAAAAACTGAAAATTAGCTCAAATTTTGTCTGTTGGCTCCAAAATTAGGATTCATTTCCAGAAATTTTGAAAAATATGAGAAAAAAGTGCAGAAAAATTTGGGCGAGAAATTTTGGTGGTGAAAAGGTTATCCCCTTTAATCATCATATATTTTTCCTGTCAACATTTTGATGCAAAATTTTATTCATTTTTCTAAAATTTCTAGGTTTATTTTGGACCAATTGGCCAAATTTTCTCATTGGCAACAGGTCTGAATCAAAATATTTGTAAAAATAATGAAAAAATTATCCAGGATTACCTTTGTGAAAGGTGACAAAAGATGCCATACAGAAAGCTAACATTAAAATCAAACAATGGAGTTTCTATTACAGTGGATATTAATGTACTATTATACATTATGGGACCCCCTTCGTTGGCACAGATAAAGTTCCTGTATACAATAGCGTATAGTGTGGTAGTTTAAATCAACACAGAAACGAGCAATCCCCTGACAACAGTGCAAATTACATGACCCTGTATAACCCTTAAAAGCTATGGTCTTCAAGGGAAATGAAATTCTTTTATGAAAGGAATTTCTTCTTTAAATTTCACGAAATCTATCTTCCTGAACACTTGTAAATATTTTCTGCGGAATTCAACAGAACTTTGTGTAAAAGGTGAAAGACCTCTCATGAACAGGAAAACATTCAGGTATTACAATCACATTGGTTTTCTATGTAGCCGAGTACAATGATAAATGGCCTATCACTCAACAATCATTGTGATTAAAATGAGATGGAAGTAAACAATCTTAACTTAAAATTTCCTTGAGCCTAACTTTCTTGATATTCTGACACAAATCTAATTCAAAAATTGCACCAATTAAGTTTATAGTTTTAGAAAAAAAAGGGGGTAGTCACACTACCATAAAACTCATTTCAATTTGACTCAATCTGCTAATTCAACTACCGGTACCTGGAGGGGGGGGGTACCTCTTCTCCTGGCAAAATATGCTGTGTACCCTCTGACAATTTGACATTAAAATGTTTGGAGTTTTGCCTTATGTAATTTTGTTTCTTTAAATCTGAATGGATTTCATAGTGAATATCTGACACACAGAATGTTGAACTGATAGTGAAAAAAAAATTTATGTTTCGCTAAAAAAAGTTAAATAGAATTTATATTTCTTGACACCATTATTTTACTATTCTGTATTCATCACACTAAATTAAATTATTGACAAATAACGATCTCTGTCAAATCAAGATGCAAACCATGCAAAACAGATGATATGTAACATGAAGAAAAAGTTTATTCCAGTATTCCAGACACATTTTGAAGTGATTTTTTTTCATATCACATCAGCATCTGAAGTATATTTAAGAGTGGCTTATTTTGGTGGAAATTATTATAATGGTTCTTGTCAAATGTTCACATTACATTTTTTTCAAAAAATTCTCCAGCTATCAGTAAAAAAAAAAGGATATAGATATATCGTACTAGCACTGAGGTTAACACAATAGTTAGCACACTTTTATTATTTATTTTAAAATGTAAACAAGCTTTCCAATTTTCAGAATATGAATCACTGAAGAAAATATTTTGTAATTTAACACTTCCTTATCCTGCTTTTAGCTAGGATGTTGATATCAGGGCGCTTAAAAATTACTTATGCAACAAGGTCCTGTCAAATCTTGCATTAAATTTATTTGTTTATACAAGCAGCCTCTTCGCTGAGATAGCTCCACTGTTAGCAATGCACATTTCAATTAAAGAACAGAAGATATCATTAGAAAATGAACAATATGTATAGTATCAAGCAATGGGACTTGCTGTTTTCAACAAGAATTCAAAAATATCACTTTTTACGAAAAATTACAAAAATATTCACCAAAATTAGAGAATTAAAGTTATCATTACAAAATGAACAAATCTGAGAGAGGTCCACATGTAGTATCTAAAAATGTAATATAAATGCAATCGGACTTGCGTTTTTTAACAAGAAGTCGAAAATATCACTTTTTATAAAAAATGACAAAAATATTCACCAAAATTAGAGAATTAAAGATATCATTACAAAATGAACAAATCTGAGAGAGGTCCACATGTAGTACCTATATATGTTATATCAAAGCAATTGGACTTGCGGTTTTTAACAAGAAGTCGAAAATATCACTTTTTACCAAAAATGACAAAAATATTCACCAAAATTATGA